TGCTTTCTGCCCAGCAATTCCTTTTGATTCCTCCTAAAATAAATCTGTTCTTTTGATGCTACACTCCGTTCAACTCCTGACCCCCTGATCAATTCTGTCTCAGCTCATGTGTGCTTCCCCGGTTCATCACAACTTCAGGGCACTAAATCAAGACTCTAAGAAAACACCAGAGTAAAAATTGTCCATTAATTACCATTCATTTGTGTCATGTGTTCATGAAGTAAGATACATGATCAAATCCTACTTTCTACACAAACTCTGTTGCTCTTCATGGTAGATGACGGATGAACTGGGACTCTGCAGTCCTGAGATGGCGGCTGTTTGGTGAAGAATTTGGAGGCTGTATAGGGAGCCTACCAGAGGAATACAGGTAGGAAAAATCACAGTCACACAGTTAAGGCAATCGAATTGAAATTTAAAATTGGATTTTATTTTACTCTTTGTGCTGGTTGCTATAATGAAGCTGGGTGGCTCAAATAAATGACGTTCTTCCCAGCTACTGTCCATGTGCTTTCCATTTTCTGTGTATCCAGTTTCAGTCACCAAAGCACTAATTTGTAGAAATACTGCCCACTGTGTCTAGAGCCAAGGTGACTGGGAGCTGTTCTCTGAGAAAGGAAAGTGCTAAGAACTCTGAAATTTTTGGTTCTAAGCTTCTTTAATTGAGCACCCAAAATACACCGACATGTTTGAAAATATTGGCTTTTATCTCTGTTCCTCAGCAGGGAGCTCAGAAGATAAATTCATTGATGTTTTTTAAAAAAAATAATCCCTCAAACACTACAATGAGAACATCACTATAGAAAAGCCCATGAGGAAATTAATCATTCCATATTCAATGCAAGATCTGGATGCTCTGTAGTAAATAGTACATGCACCACACTTTGGATGATAAGGGTAGGAGAAAATTTGAATAGTGTTCATTAAGTGAGCAACGTCCATCCTTTGCACTGAAAAAGGCAGGAGACCCATGGAAACAAAAATCAAGTAATTAAAGATCGTATCATAATGTGTTTGCATAAGGGGAGAATTAATGTTGCATGGGTGATCTTGAATCTGGCATTCAGTAACTTGCTTAACTTTGCAAGCCAAATGTTTTGGGTTTTTTTTTTTGAGAGAGCAAAACAAATCCCTTTGGGGAGTTGGCAGGGGGGAGGGCAGAAGCCATCCAGGCAGGTGTTGGTGTGTGCAGCTAAATACTTGTGTGTGCACAACTAAACACTAGTGTGTACACAGGTGTCTGCCCAATCTCTGTGTGTGCAAATGTGTGTATGGTGAGCTCATGTTTATGCAACTGGCTGGTGTTTCCCTCTGAAAATGCCTTTCTCTATTAAAAAAATAATAGCAGGAACTTTAAAACTGGTTTAGGTGCCTGGGTTTTAGGTGACAAACTTTTATATGGTGTTTTGTGTTCCAGACCTTCCTTTATAGGGCCTCTGCTTGGTTCTGACTCACCTCAACACCCCAAAATCTGTTTGACTGATGGGTCGAGTGTTTGTGGGAGTTACTGTAAGATGCTTCTGTGGGATAAGTAGTATCTTTTACGTCTGTGTTAGTGGAAAGGCTGGCATGCTGAGGATTCACTCACACCAGTACCCAAGGTGCATTGGAACGATAAAAAATATTAGTAGATATAATTTGTTATATCTGTGTTTGGTTTGATTACTGTCTTGTATTTGAAATCCTGTAATTAGAGCAGCAAACTGCCTCCAGGGCCAGTGCTACTCCAAGTAATACAGCACTAGTATGAGTTCCTTTGGCTTCAGCAGGTGGTTCATTACAAAGGATGAAGGCAGGAGTCCACGTAAATTAAACATCACCTCTTGGGAAGTGACGATCACCAAGAGAGAAGGGAAATAGTGAGGATCATCTCTCCCTCTTGAATAAATGGAGTTAGCGGCACAGAACCCTACAAGTGGGAAACGCGTTGACTTGCTCAATCCCCTCCCCCACTAGATGGCACTGAACTCTTTTTCTTTAAAAGGAAAAAAAAAAAGGAGGAGGAGGAAGAAAAATATGGTGGAGGTCATTTTGATGTAAAAAAAAAAAAAAAAAGAAACCCCGAAGAAAAGCAAATTGCAATTGGTTGTCCATTAACTCTGCCCTTCCCCCTCCTAACCCAGCACCCCTCCTGTGTGTACCTTGGTACAGGCACTCTCTTTGGTGTCTGAAGCTGTCTTGGAAGGCGGTGGGCGATGGTAGCTGGAGGATGCTAAGGAAAGTGGAAACAATCCTGGGAGGGAACAGAGAGGAGACTGGCCCTCTCTGTAAGACAACATCCGTGGTGAGGTCTAGCAGGCAGCGCACAGCTCGTCACAAGGAATTTGCTCTGAACAGACTCACCCAGCTCCGCTTCTTTGTCCCATACCTTCAGACATTTTTCCTGTGCACCCATGTGCTTTAGCTTTCCCTCTTTATCACTGAAATCGTAACCTGCAGAAAGGAAAGCCTCAGCTTTAAATCCTTTACTAAAACAGCATTTTCCCTCCCCGATTCGTTCCAGACCCATGAATTACCTGCCTTTATGCCGAGATGCCCTTAAGTCATTGTAAGGAGTGGTTTCCACGTAGCGTGCCCGAGTGTGCGTGGAGGGCTTTTTTTAAAATGTCTTTCTCCCAGCTCAAATTCATCTGAAGATAGACAAGGATTGTTTTTTCCCCCTGTGGTGAGGCGGGGGTGGGGTGGGAGGAAGAGAATTTAATAATGATCTGTTTGCGCTGAGAAGGGGCTGTCTGTAATAATCCCGGGAAGAGACAGAGGAAAGGTTCCTAATGCCTGCAGCAAGCAATACTCCGCCCCTCCTGAAAAGAAGGGGATAATGATGATGAGGGAGAGAAATCTTTAATTCTAAGAGTTAAAGCAGAGCTCATCTGAAATCCAGCGCTCTCTCCTGCATTTATATATTTAAGGTGACTTGCATTAGGATAGAGATTGCCATCTGATAAAGCTACAATTGTGAGCCAAAAAAAATAAAAATGCATAGAAACTGCCACTGAAATGCCTTTTCAGAGAAAAAGAGAAAACCTGGAACTGCATGCCAATTTTCAGCTTTCAAAGCCATATTTAAGAATGAGAAGAGGGAACAAGTCTGGCTTCTCCAGGTACAAAAGTCCCCCTGCCCCAAACTCTCTTGCTGCCTTAGAGTATGACAGAAAAAACTGGGCACCTGGACCTACCTGGGTCCAACCAAATCTTGGCTCTTTGGACTGTAATAGTAACGTTTAACTAGAAAAGAAATGTAGGTATGATTACACTGTATGATTTTCCTGTCCCCTAACATGTCTTTGGCCAATATAATGAAAAAAACAGCTCTAGCAGCTGGATCCTCCATTTTGCTCTTACCCCCAGTCTTCCAGTTCAGTCTAAATAGAGAATAAATGTAGCAAACTGTTGTGCTTAAATTGAAAATCCAACAATCCTATCAGCCAAAACCCATGTTTGGTAACATTAGGCTTTTTCCCTGTTCTCATCCTTCAGTTTGAGATTTGATCCTAAAATTTGATGAAGAAATCCAGGTGCACTCTCATCCCTGTGTGGGTGCAATACAATAAACCCGTTTGCCATCTTCTTACAGGAGCCAGCTTTTTGACCACAGGCCTCTAAATTTAATCTCCAAACAGACAAGTATGGCTGCTCCAAGCCTGCTATAAAATTTAATTCTTTTTATATACTGACATGTAGTTGCTTGAAAAATCCAGTTATAGAAGTGGATCCACCTGTGCTTAACTGTTGTAAAAAAGCCTTAGATCCTTAAATATTTGCCCTTATTATGAACAACAAAGGGAAGTTACTGCTAAAAAACAATTTAAACCAGTGCCTTGTCTCAATGAAGCAATTAACTTTACCAGAGCTTTTAAGATACGGTTAATATTTATAACACAACATTGAAATTTTGCAATAGAACTGTTTCAGAGGATGCAGGTGATCACAATGTCTATGGTTTGGATGGTCAATTTTCCTTTGCAAGCTTAGAAATCATGCGAGGGGGTTAGACAATATAGTACATCTCAAACCAAAAATGGCTTAATGGGAGAGATGCCCTTGCATAGCTGAAATCCCAGCTGACTTGGGACCTGGTTTTGCCAGGTAAAATGGAAGGAGACATCTTGTCTTTTTTGGTGATAGAATTTAATTTGGGGCCAAAACCTGGTAGGATCCAGCCATGGGTTTTTGTTTTTTTGTTTGTTTGTTTTGGTTTTGTTTTGGTTTGGTTTTTTTGTATGTGTCTTGTCTGTCTTTCTCTCTGATGCAGCTGTATTCCACAAGAAAATCCAGGTGTGTATTTCTGATACACTAAGAGCTACTATGGTCCCTCCTCTGCCCTTCCCACTGGGACAAGTACCATTTGTGTGGCTAGGGCTGAAAGCTAGCAAAATCCCAGTACTCCCCTCTTGGGGCCAAGGGCTTTCACCAACCCAGTGGTGCCAATAAAGGCTGTGCTTCTTTTCTATTCAGATGACACAGCTTAGGCTGCAGGGGCCAAAAGCTGCGTGGATCCAGCGTGGGTGTAGATTTTTGTGGCACTTGCCCCTGGAGAGACATCGGGGTGTGGACTTTTTGGTGCAGTAGGAGCGACCGCGTTGTTTTTCCTTCATGCTGTGGAGTCGCTGATGTGTGGGAGCCAAATATTGGATGGGGCTAACTGGGTTCCTCTGCCAGCTCCAGGATGCTGTGATACAGAGCAGGGTGTGCCAGGTCCCAGAGCTTTTTGATGGAGGGGAAATGGCCATGCTTATTTCTTTTTTAAACAGTATATTTCAGAGTCTGAAGGCCTCAGTTTTCTGGATCACGCAGTAGCTCTTGAATCCAGGGTTTTTTTCAAGCTCACACTCTGTGTTACGTAGTCGGTTGGGATTTTTTTGTGCAGTAAGAAACAGCTCCGCTTGTCTTGGATTTGGTTGACACAATGTAAGGGCTTGTGACCAAGGATGAGCAGGATCCAGCTAAATCCAGGTTTTACGTTTTCCCCTCTTAAGAAAGTAAGGCTTCGACGTTTCCTGCCGGGGAAGTGGTGCAGTTTATCTTTAAGGAGGCTAGAGAAATAAGAAATGAGTCTCACGTTGCATGGGTGACATCACTGGCTTTTGGCTCAGCGCTCTGTATTCTCTGTCTGTAGGCTTTAGCCAAGGCTGCAGGGCTCGGTGTTTGAACAAGGAAAGATTCCCAGGTGTACGGAAGATTGGATTCACTCTTATTTGGGTTAAAAACGGTGAAATGAGATTTCTAAAGCTTGGGGACTCCAGCTCGCCTTCTGTTGCACTTGATCTCTACGAGATGGGTGAGTTATTCCCATTAGAGAGAAAGGGAGTGGAAATTTAAGGAGAAAGGAAAATATGTCTGAATATATAACTGCTGATGCTGGGGATACGATTCCTATGAAGCTGCTGAGCTAAAAATCTCAGCTCCGACGTGGAGATCGGGCCATATGGCAGAGAAATGGTGCAGACCGAAAGCTGTTGACAACTGTTAGGGGCTGCTTTCCTCTCCACCGTGTAAGGT